TAAAAAGAAGATTCTTAGCCGGGCTTGGTGGCTCAGGCTGTAGTCCTGCACCTTTGGGAGGCTGAGGTGAGTGGATTGCCTGAGCCCGCGGGTTCGAGACCCACCTGGGCAGTGAGACCTCATCTCTACAATAAATCAGAAAAGATCAGCCGGATGTGGTAGCGCACTCCTGTAATTCCGGCTACTTGGAAGGCTGAGGCGGAAGGATCACCAGAGCCCAGCGGGTCGAGGCTGTGGTGACCAGGAGCGGCCACTGCACTCCAGTCTGGGCGATAGAGTGTGACTCCTACTCAAAAAAAAATTCTTAAGTGGCCTCTCTCCTTTCAGTCTGCCACTCAGTCAGTTCTCGATAGTGTTATCGGTGTGGTAACATTACAAACATCATCATCATTATCAAAACAAGCACTCATAAAACACTGTGCCAGGCACTGTTCTTACAATAACTCTGTGAAGTAGATTATGTTATTTTCCCCACATTTAAGATGTGGATACCTTTACCATTAATCCTGTATTACTATGTCATTACACTGACCACATTTAATGGAAACCATATGTACTCAAAGGTGGGGGCTGTTTCTTATTTATCTTTCTATATGGCATTTATAACCATAAATTAGAGTAAAGTTCCAATTTTTATTTTATTTGCAGATAATGACTCATGATGATGGCTTGCAGGGTCATAAACAGACGAAGGCACATGGGACTTCAGCAACTTTCATCATTCGCAGAAACGGGAAGAACATTCCTAGGCCCAGTAAAATCATCCAAATTTGTTATAGATGAAGAGCGCCATGACAGTGTGTTAATCAGTTCAACAGTAAGGCTTCTTGAATGTTTGGATTTAACCAGTGCAGTGGGACAACTTCTCAGTGAAGCAGTTCAAGCACAAAATAACACATACAGAACTGGGACCAGTACTCTTTTGTTTCTTGTTGGTGCGTGGAGCAGTGCAGTTGAAGAATGTCTTCATCTGGGTGTCCCCATTTCCATAATAGTGTCAGTAATGTCAGAAGGCTTGAACTTTTGCAGCGAAGAAGTAGTTTCTCTTCAGGTACCTGTTCAGAATATATTTGACCATATAGACAGCACAAAGACATTTTCTGTGCTTGAAACATCTAGTGTCAGCTTGTGTCCTTTCCTGCAAGTTCCATCAGATACCGATTTGATACAGGAAGAGCATGTTCTCAAAGATGTTGGCGCTCAATCATTGACTGTGTGCCATCTTTCTGGGATACCTGTTACATTACCTAAATTCTCAAAACCTCAGGCTAAGCCTGAAGCAGATAAAACACATCACAAACCCTAAAAAACAGCCTGCTTGCAGATACTTGCTGCAGAAAGTCAGTACTCACCCACAGCAGGCATTTTAACAGGACAGATAGTGCTGAACGGACAAACCAACCAGATGGATTTCTGGAACGTCATGCAGCTATTCCCAGAATTTACAGATGTAAAGATTTGGTAGAATTGGCAGGAGGTTTGAGTCATGGAGATCACAGCAGGATGAAATTAGTAGAAGCAGCAGTGTGGTTGCAGTATCAGAGCGGGTGCGTACAACAAGGGAACTGTACAATGCCATTTGTATTTGACATCTCAAGAATCCTTACTCTCTGTGTACCAGAATTACCTGAAACTTCTTCTTGTGTTTGTCCAGGATATATTACTGTTGCATCAATGTCTAATAGTACTCTGATCGAGGAATTGCAGAATCATCCGGTCCGGATAGTTCTCATTGAGGGTGACCTCACAGAAAATTATCGCCACCTGGGATTTAATAAGTCTGCAAATACGAAAACAGTATTAGATAGCATGAAGTTTCAAGAAGACAGCTCAGAAGAACTGTGGGCAGATAACATGTTACAAATATTAATCCAGTTCAGTGTGAACCTTGTCCTGGTACAAGGAGCTGTGTCCGGATGCTTAACTGAGAAATGCGCACACAGGAAGCGGCTGATAATTGGATTGGTGAGTGGCAGTGTGCTGCAGGCTTTTGCAGAGGCATCAGGAGCTGTACCAGTGGCCTACATGACACAAGTGAATGAAGACTGCGTGGGAAATGGGGTCTCTGTGGCCGCGTGGAGAAGCAGTCCCTTGGGTGTTGTAGATGGGAACAACAGAATGACCATCTTGTTGAAGACAGAAGGAATTAATCTGGTTACAGCAGTGCTCACTAGCCCAGTTACTGCACAGATGCAGACCAAAGAAGATAGGTTCTGGACTTGTGCCTATCATTTGTATCACGCTCTGAAAGAGGAAAAGGTCTTCCTTGGAGGTGGTGCTGTTGAATTTTTGTGTCTTAGTCATCTCCAAGCCCTTGCAGAGCAACCTCTGAAAAAAGGAAACCATGCCTGTTCAGGGTGCCTTCATAATAATACCTCTTGGCTGGCTTCATCTCTGGCAGTATATAGACCAACTGTGCTTAAAGTCCTGGCGAGTGGGTGGCAGAAATACCTTTCAACCCTCATGTGCAACACTGCCAGTTACTCATCAGAATTTGAAGCCAGCACATTCATTCAGCAGCATCTACAAAATGCCATGGATTCTGGCTCTCCTTCATCTTACATCTGGAATGAATATAATAAACTAAATGGTGGAGTTTTTAATCCAGGCATTTCAAATAAACTGGAGCATATTCCAAGAGTTTATGACATTGTTACACCAAAGATTGAGGCGTGGCGCCGAGCATTAGATTTAGTGCTGTTAGTACTTCAGACAGACAGTGATATTGTTACTGGACTTGGACACACACAGATAAATTCACGGGAATCAGAGGGCTTTTTATTTTTGTAGTGTTATTAGCTGAGTCTTTGGAAAATAATCTTTTGGTCTCACCAAGTTGCCCAGGCTGTTCTCAAACCGGCAGGGTCAGGCAAGCCACTCACCTCGGCCTCCCAAAGTGCTGGGATGACAGGATGAGTCACCAAGCCTGGCCCTAGACAATTTTATTTCCTCCTTGCTGATGCCATCTGTTTCAGCTTTGGGACCCCTTGATACATCCTCCACAGCCTGGAAATGTTGGGAATACTGCCTAATTGTCATGTCAACAGCTGCTTTCTCCCACCCTGAGGTGAGTGAGCAACATCCAAGATACCATTTGGGTAGCTTGCTCTAATTCTTCTGGCTGCGTGCAGTGGCTCATACCTGTAAGGTTGAAGCAGGACCATCACTTGAAGCCAGGAGTTCAAGACCAGCCTAGACACAAATCGAGACCCTGTTTCTATGAAATAAATACATACAAATTTTTAAAAATCCAACTTCTCACTGCTTAGCCTTTAAACATTCAAGGCTGGGCTCCGTGGCTCAGCCTGTCATCCCAGCACTTTGGGAGGCCAAGGCGAGTGGATTGCCTGAGCCCATGGGTTTGAGACCAGCCCAGGCAACTTGGTGAGAACTCATCTCTACAATAAATCAAAAATTAGCTGGGCATGGCAGAAGGATCTCCAAAGCCTAGTGGGTTGGCTCTGGGGTGACTGTGAGTGTGCCACTGCACTCCAGCCTGGGTGACAGAGTGAGACTCCAACTCAAAAAGAAATAAACATTCATTTGCAAGTAGGATGGTGGGATGACCCTATGCCCCTCCTCCCATTTGGATCCTGGGAAGGGAGGATCTAGGCGGTCTTCTCATATCTCTTAACCTAGCCCACTGGGCCTTGTCTTTTCTAGTATTAAAAGAAAAATTTAGGTGCATTAAAATTTTAAAGTTTATTTGAGCACAAAATGATTGGTGAATCGAGCAGCTCCAGACTACAGCCAGTTTGGGGCTCCACTGAAGGTGTGCAAAAGGATGGCTTTTATAACGTGTTTGTGAAAGCAAGACAAAGAAAACATTTGATTGGTTAAAGTGGAGAAGTAGCTTTAAAGTCCCTAGTTAGAGGTTAGCTGACAGTTTCTGATTGGTTATGCTAAAGTTTTATTTTTCTAGGCTGTGGCTCTTCACTCTGATTTGGATTTCAGTTTGTTTATGTACGAATTCAGGGTACTGAATTAGTCTAATAGCCTCCCAATTATTTTAACACCAAAGCACCATGGTTCTGTCAGCCAAAATTTTTGACAACTGCAGCACCTGAGATTTTGCCCCACTTACAAGATATTATGGTCATGATGTATTCCCCAAAATTTATGTGTTGGGAATTTAATCCCTAATGCCACCATACTGGAAGGTGAAGCCCAATGGGAGGTGTTTAGGTCATGAGGGCTCTGCCCTGATTAGTGGATTGATGCCCCTGTAAAAAGGGCTTACAGTAATGGGTTTACTCTCTTCTGTCACATGGGGACGCAGTGCTTGTTCCCTCTGGAGGATGTAGTATCCACAGCACTACCTGGAAAATAAAGACTGGACCTTCACCAGACACCAAACCGGTCAGCACCTTGATCTTGGAATTCCCAACCTCCAACACAGTGGGAAATAAATGTCTGTTCTTTACAAATATCCAATGTATGTTATGCTGTTATAGCAGCACAAAATGACAGTTAACAAGTTAGCCTGTCAAAATTTCATGGGATGCTGGCAGAAAACGTGAGACTCCTGGGTCAGAGACAAAGAACTTTTTTTTTTTTTTTTTTTGAGTTGGAGTCTCACTCTGTCACCCAGACTGGAGTGCAGCGGCCACTCCCGGCCACTGCAGCCTCGACCTGCTGGGCTCCGGTGATCCTTCTGCCTCAGCCTTCCGAGTAACCGGAACTACAGGCACGCCCGCTTAGTTTTTGATTTATTGTAGAGATGTGGTCTCGCCAAGTTGCCCAGGCGGGTCTCGAACCTGCAGGCTCAGGCAATCCACTCACCTCAGCCTCCCAAAGGCGTGGGATTACAGGCTGAGCCACCGAGCCCGGCTGACAACTTTACAGTAGTCAGAGTTTCATGTTGGTTGTGCTGGTCCCCTGTGCTTCCCAAGTTTCACTAGGGTGACACAGAGGGCCGGTGATAAAGGATGAAGGTCTGCACACATCATGGGTTGTGTCACAGGAGAGGAACACTGAACTTGGACGAGTCACCACTTTTACACTAAGCAAAAGCAAGCCTGTTTTTTCTCGGGAGGAAGATAGTACATCACTCCTCAAGGTTTGTCCCTGCAAGCACGTCCCTGATAAGTGGCCTGAAAAAAGAAAGGGCAATGCCCAGAAAGAATGTTCAGGAATGCACAGAGCCCGTATGGCCTGCCTCTCCCAATAGTCTTCTTTCGCTACTTAGCTGTACGTAAATTAGGTAAGGATTAAATAAGTGTTAGTTTTTGGAATTGAATGTTAGAAGAATTCTGGAAAATAATAATAGTAGTAACAAAGTTACTGATTACCTACCATGTTCCAGGAACTGCTCTAAATCCTTTACATGTTGTATGAATTTGCTAAGACTGCCTTAATAAAGTATCACAGAGTAGGTGGCTTGATAAACAGGAATTTATTTTCACACCGTTCTGGAAGATCAAGTATGAGATCAAGGTATTGGAAGGATTGGTTTCTCCTGAGGCCTCACTCCTTGGCTTGTAGATGGCTCACATGGTCTTTCCTGTGTGCTCACATCCTTGGTGTCTATTTTTATGTCCTGATTTCCTCTTAAGAGGACACCAGTCAGATTGGATTAGGACCCACCCCAAAAACCTCATTTTAATTGCCTCTTTAAAGGTCTTATGTCCAAAAACAGTAACATTCTAGGGTACTGGGAGTTAGGGCTTCAACATACGAACTTTGAGGGACACAATTCAACCCACAACACATACATGATTTCAATCTTAGCAACTTCTATTATTTCCATTTTATAGATGAAGAAATAGACTTAATATGATTAAGAAACGCGCCCACTGTCTCACAGCTAGTAGGTGGTAGTGTTGGAATTTGGCTCCAAAGTCTTTATCTCTAAGCACAAATTGTGATATGAAACTTTTTCTGTAAGGTAACAAAAGAAGAAAAGAGAATGCCTGGTTTATTTATAGGACCAGTTTAAATGCACTAGAAGTTGACTATACTCATGCCTGGGAATGGTAAAGAAATATCATCTTAAATTATGCTAAATAACAATTTTTTATGTTTGGTGATTGTTTTAAATGTGATCACATAAAAACTTTGTACAGGTAATCATCCTAGTTACATATACTGTCTTCACAGTTGGAGTGATAACAATGTTGCATGTTGAACTGTTTTGTACAAATAAAGTGAGGTTGGGCCAGTGGCTCAAATTTGTAATCCCAGCACTTTGGGAGGCCGCAACAAGAGCATTGCCTGAGCTCAGGGGTTTGAGACCAGCTTGGGCAACTTGGTGAGACCTCATCTTTACAATAATTTTTTTAAAAATAAGCCAGGCATGGTAGCACATGCCTGTAGTTCCAGCTACTTAGAAGACTGAGGTAGAAAGATCGCCTGAGCCCAGCAGGTCGAGGCTGCGGTGGCTGTGAGCATGCCACTGCACTCCAGCCTGGGTGACAGAGTGAGACTCTGACTCAAAAAAAATAAAAAATAAACTGTATCATTTTACTTAGGTAGATACTCATACTTTTATTATCCCTCTGTATAATATTAAAACTTCATTTTTGTTAAAATATTACAGAGTATGAATGCTATGAATATTAATTGACATGGATGCTCAGCTCATTTCATCATGGGATTTTTTTGTGAAGTAGGTACTTGCATATATCAAGATATTTAATAAATGTGTGCAATAAATATTTTCCTTTAAATTAGAAATCTCACTCTAATAGAAATTTCATGTCTGCTTTATTTCCACATTGTAAAAAACTTTATACTCTCATATGACTTATTGGCTATTTTTCAAATTATTTTAATAGCAAGAAATATCTTAAAGTATTAATTATTCCAGGAACTGTTCTGTTCTTGCAAACTGAAGGTAGTCCCTAGAATAAACTTGAGTGGAATAAACTAGGTGGAAGAATGGCCTGAGCCCAGCAGGTCAAGGTTGCGGTGGCCATGAGCATGCCACTGCACTTCAGCCTGGGCAACAGAGTGAGACTCCAACTCAAAAAAAAGAAAAAAGAATCATTAAGAAATTCTGACAGTGGAATTTCTACAAATCCCAGAATACGGGCGTAATTTACCCATGTAAGTAAGTGGATTTTCCAAGAAACTCTGTTTATAAGCAATTACATATTTCCCACAAGACAGCAGTGCTTCGTGAGACAGACCTGCCTTATTAATATTGTAGACTACAAAGAGGTTTGCGGGCATCTTACGTCTAAATTATCTCACCCAAGAGAAGTCTGTCTTCCCAAAAAGCAAGCAAGCTCTTAGGCAAGGGGTTAACTAGCTCTTCAAAAATAATCTTTAACCAGGCTCGGTGGCTCAGCCTGTAATCCTGCGCCTTTGGGAGGCTGAGGTGAGTGGATTGCCTGAGCCCGCAGGTTCAAGACCTGCCGGGGCAGCGAGACCTCATCTCGACAATAAATCAAAAAAATCAGCTGGGCGTGGTAGCGCATGCCTGTAATTCCGGTTACTTGGAAGGCTGAGGCAGAAGGATCGCCGGAGCCCAGCGGGTCGAGGCTGCGGTGACCGGGAGCAGCCACTGCACTCCAGTCAGTGTGACAGAGTGAGACTCCAACTCAAAAAAACAATAATAATAATCTTTAATGGCCAGTCGGGGCAACTTGGTAAGACCTTGTATCTACAATAAATCAAAAAATTAGCCAGGCATGGTGGCGCACACCTATAGTCCCAGCTACTCGGGGCTGAGGTGGAAGGATGGCCTGAGCCCAGCAGGTCAAGGTTGCGGTGGTCGTGAGCATGCCACTGCACTTCAGCCTGGGTGACAGAGTGAGACTCCAACTCGGAAAAAAAAAAAATCTAAGAAATTCTGAGCCAGGCTTGGTGGCTCAGCCTGT